TACTTGTCCCTTTAATGCTTATATTTTTCAGGGTTTGGTCCAGATCTCTAGTCTTTTCTAGGGATTACAAACTATCACCACAGAGATCAGGGATGCCTTTGTGTTCCAGGGTTATCAATATTTGAAACAGTTGAAGGTGAATGCTTTAAGCAAGACTGCACAACTCCCTGTTGTCTGCATTTATGCTACCTGCCAGGCCCCTATCAAAAATCTTAAGTGCATGACCCCAATTTTACTTGTATTTCCTGATTCTGAGCCATGCGCTGGGGTTATAGTAAAGAACAAACTTTAACATGTTCTTTGTACTCACTAAGCTTTCAGATAAATGAGGGAAACACAGTAAATTGGGAAAAAAAATTTAAATGAGGTTATGTTTAGGGCAACAGTGCTAGTGTAGTAACAATTTAAAGCTTAAAGTTCAGACAAATCTTAAACCATTCAACCTAGTGCTCATTTCATGATTGTGTGCCAACTGCTCCATAGTGATTTTCTATTTTATATTGAGTATCTATTGAATTTCATAACTTTTAAGCTCCTCTAGTCTCCTCAGAGCTTTCAATGTGTTAATAGACTTAGGGTTTCTCAGAGATGACGATGTTAATAACAACAGTAACAAATAAAATTTGCAGAGTATTTATTATGGGCTGGCTAAATGTATTACACAGATTACCTATGGATACTATAATTACTTCCATTATACAGAGAAAAAAGCTTGAATTAATATTAATTTGCCTTAGGTCATGTGACTAATTAGTAAATAATAGGATTTAAAATTAAAATCCTATTAATTAAAAATTAATTAAATTAATTAAAATCCTATAATTAAAAAATTAGGATTAAAACTTTCTGTCTTATTCTGGAGTTAGCTCTTTTAATGTCAAAGTTATAATTTCTGTAGAAGACATAATCATGTAGAATTTCAAAATGTATTTAACCACAGAATCCTAACCAGGAACACCTATTAACATTTACTAGAACTAATACCCTCTAAAACAGTTTGGGAATACTGGCTTAATCTGTATTAAATCTTATTTAATGATTAGGAGATAAAATAGTCATAATACTTAGTTGCATGCACAGTAATCATAAATGTAAAACACTTACATAGAAGAAAAAAATTACACAGCAAAATAATACTTAACTGCATGCACAGTAATTACAAATATAAAACACATAGAGAAAAAAAGAAAAAACAGTACATAAGTATGTTAATTGTGTTTGGATAGTAGGAATTGCTGGATAGTTTATACTTCTTTCTCCTTTATTAAACTGAAAAATAATGACCTTATTTTTACAACAAAAAGCATTTGAAAAGTATTATCTGAACTTTTCTGCCTCGTAACATTAATTTTGTTCACAATATTCATTATATTTCATTAGGCCTAAAAAGTCATCGTAAGATGCCATAATAAAAACTGAGGCTGATTCTATTAAATTTATTAAAAATGAATTTGGAAATCTTAATCATTAAAATATACAAAAGGCTATTCCTGAGATTTTTGTCATTTCCAAATGGCTTCCCTTTACCTCAGCAATTTCCCCAGTAGTCTTTCCCCACTCTGATTCTAAATTGCCAGTAATACCTTTTGTTTTTAAATTTTAATTCAATTAATTAACAGAGTGTATTATCAGTTTCAGAGGTAGATCTAGTTCAGTGATTCATTAGTCTTATATCCAGTAATTCCTTTTAAATAACAAATTCCCTGCCCCAGGCTTTCAATGTTAGGAACCAAATATAAACAAATAAGCTATCACTTTGAAATGGAAGTTTTAAGTGCAGGTTTTCAATCTTCCTTTATAATATAGGAATTCTACAAAAATTGGGAAGTGTCTTTCCACTTTCCAAAACACCTGATTTCACTTTCTCAGAACTTCAATTAGGTAAAAGTTTATATTCTTCTTAGATGCCTTAAGTATTGTATTTCATCAAACCTAAGATGCCACCAATTGTAAAATGGCTACAATCACAAGATGCTCTGTCATTTTATGTACGATTAAGAAAAAAGCACACATCCTGTATTGTTTGAAAATTCTTTTAAATTAAACCCTTTTTATCTTATATAACTCTTTTGTTTCCCTATATTTCTGCATACACATTTTTTTCATTTTAATGGTAAATCATATAAAGGATACTTAAAATGGAGCTTAAAGTCAACTACTATACTAACACTACACATAACTGAACTGATGACAATATTGACAGTTATGACCAAGTATGCATATGCAGGGGCACTGACAACTATCTCACAAGTGCCACTTAGTTCATAGTGATTTTAAGACAACAATTACAAAATGTATGACTATTTTAGAAATGTAAATATTAGAAAAACATATACATCCAGATTAATAAACTATAGTAATTAATCACTTTCTTCTCTCCCCACCACCATCAATTCCTAATCTAACCTTCCAATCTTCGCTCCTCCATTTGCTTCATAATCTAACTGCCAAATCACCCATATGGGGAACATCTTTATTACCATGCTACATAATGTGATACTTTTTTAAAACTAGCTTAAAACTCCTACTAGGATTTAAAACATCTGACAGAATTTTTAAAAAGGTAAACAATAAGATCAAATATTCTGAGAATAATGCATCCCAGAGATACTCTAATTCTATAGCAGTGGTAACTGTCAATACCTCCAGGGGTGTTTTGGCAACCTTTGCCCAAAGTATAGAAGACAGACCTAAAATATTCTTTTTGTGAATACTTCTTTTTTGTTTATTTATTTACTTGGCCTGTATTCAGAGAATTAATTCAAATTCTACCTCTGCCAATTATTACTTGTGTCAATTTTCCTCTTTAAAAATTTTTGATGTATAATTGACAGATTATCAGATTAGTTGCAGATGCACAAGACTCCATATTTATATAAACTGCAAAATGATCACATTAGCCCATTTAATAACCTTCATCATACATAGTTACAAAGATATTTTTCTTGTGAGGAGAAACTTCAAGATCCACTCTCCCACCTATTTCCAAATACTCAAATACAGTATTTTTTAACTATAGTCACAATGCTGTACATTATATCTCTTACTCATTTTACAACTGGAAATTCGTTTTTATTCTTGTTTTTCTGTACTCAACAGAATGCGTTCTTCCCCTTTACTCATAAATGCACAGGGAGTCCTGGAGGGCTTTAGGGATGGCTAAGAGAGGATTGCTAGAGAGTGGATGGCTATGAGAAGACAGTCCATGTTATTTCAGGTACTATGACCATTAACATACAAAATCTTTCTGTCCAGTGAAATATGCATAAAATTTTTAAAAAGGGTATGTCTAGGTCTCTCAGATTTTCTTCAGTAGGGTTTAACCATCCCTTTCCATCCACAGAGGCACTCAGTACTTTTTCCCATTTCTTATCTAAGAACACAGCTAGTAACAACAGCCACTACTTTAATGGGCCAGGCACATTACATACAGGGTCATTTAAGCTTTATAACCTTGTGGGATAACAATTTCATTTTATAGAAAAATTCAGATTAATTACATAACTGGTCTAAATCCAAATACTACAAATTTGAATATTAAATGGCAAAGCTGTGATTTTAACGTGTTTGTTACTCCAAAACTCACACTACACTTCATTTTTAAAGTGTTTCTCAATCCTAATTAAATTAACTCATCATCCACCAATATCCATGCACATCTAAACTAACAGCACTTAGAACCTGGCCAGCCATTTCTTACCATGCCTCCTCAAGCCACCATCGTGTCTCCTCTAGATTACTACAAAAGCCTCCAAACTGGTCTTTCTTCCACCCCACCCCTTCCAATCTATTCACCATGGCACCCAGTAAGACCCTTTTTAAAAGGAAGCCAGCTTATGTCCCTCCACTGCTCAAAACTCTCCAATAACTTAGATGCCCTCAATATCCTTCATGACTTGTTCCTTCTGTGATTTTTGTCCCCAGCTTTAACCCTTTCGCCCAACTCTAACCCACAAGCTTCCTTGCTCTTCAGGCGAGTTTCTGCTTCATGGCCTTTGCAATGGCAGGTCTCTCTAGCTGACTACACTTCCCCCAAGACATATATATATGGTTAATTCTCTCAAGGATGTCGGCTCTTTCTTGAAAGTCGTCTTTTCAGCAAGACTTTCCCTGACCACACAAAAATTTCAAACTACCCCCCTCCTCTGCGGTATTATTTTTCTCCTCAACGCCCATTACAACCCACAATATGTCATGTTTTTCTTAATTGTGTTTAGTATGTGCCTTCACCAATAAAATGTGACTACGGGAAGACAGGAGTTTCTGTTTTGTTCATTGCTCTTTACCCAATGTCTGAAACAGTGCCGGAAACATAGTGGCGGCTTACCTACTCGAGGGATTAATTCCTGCCCCACTCCCACCCCAGTCCTTTCACAACACCGGCGCGAGCGCAAACGCAACAGTAGACTTGTTTGTGAATATATCTTTTCCAGTAGCATCCTTTCCCTCAGCCCCGCATCCCATTTTCTCAAACATGGTTCCTTCAAAAGGTCCCGAGCTGTTCTCTACTTCAACATGCCAAGATCGGTGAGGGAATGAGCGTATCTCCCACTAGTATCGGAATGCCAGGTACTATCTCGCCACGTCGAGTAAGGGAAGGGCAACTCCTTCGATCTCAACTCGCCTACCCGGGACCCTCCGCGGCCGTCACTCACATGAATCGGCATACAGAGCAACCTGGCTAGCCTCACCAGGGTAGCCTCAGCATGGAGCGGTTAGAACAGCCTCCCGCACACGACAGCACTGAGAAAGGACCCAACGCGGTGTCCCCACCAAACGCCTGAGCGTACCACCGATTTAACTCTAAATTCTGTCTCCCCCTTCCTGTGCGCAGCCACACCACGCTCTCCGTCTTTTGTTTCCTTAGCCAATAATGCAATCCCCCCCCCCTTTCTTCCTTGGTGGCTACATTTTGTCATCAGCTTGGGCAAGTGCAAAACGCTAGGCGTCTGGGTCTTTCCTCAACCTTGTGTCGTGGAAGTTGTGAGGTCAGAAGAAACCGCCGACTGAATTGAAGGTGGGGGCGGGGAAAGCTGGAAGCTGTCAGTGGAGAGAGTCAGACTCACGCTCCTGGCTAGATTCCGAGCTGGAAATTTCGGCGGATCTAGCTAGCAGGCAAAGGGCAATCTTAGCGCTCCAGGAGCGGCTTCTTTTGCAGAAGCACCTGAAATGCAGGGTCTGGTACACTAAGCAGTAGCGGCAGCAGCAGCAGCCACTGCGACAGGCTGGGGCCCTGTGTAGACGCTCCATCCCTTTGTGTTTGTGTCCGCCTGCGTCCCCAGACTCAGAGGCAGGTATTTGGGTTTGTCAGTTTTGTGTGTCGTAGTGGGTGGGCTGGTGGGAGTAGAGGAAAGTCAGGTGCAGTGAGTGGCCCGGCTTATCCCACAGTAAGGGGAGCCAACCTGTGGAGCTGCTTGCTGCTGAAAACTGTGCCCAACCCTGGCTAATGTTCGCCTTTCCCCCCTCCGCACGTTGACCTGAGTCCTACTTGAGAGTGACCACTGTATCACTTTAAAGAGGAGGCTAGAGACTGTGGAATCAGCTCTCCGTTACTCAACATAGATACAAAGTCTTGATTTTGTTTCTGGTTTCAAAGGTTTAGGCAACTGTCGAGAAGGAACATTCCCTGTGGAGTGGGAGAATGTGAACAATAGGACTTGTCAGTGGTTACTTTCCAAGGCCTCTTGGTTCCTGGTTTTATTTGGGACGGAAAGACAACTTTTTTGAGGGAATGTATATAAAATAAGTGAACTCGTATTATTCCCCCGTTGAAGAAATGTGTGAACTATTCATGATGAAATCGGCATCCCCTGTCCCAAGCCCTTTTGAGTCCAAGTTCTTTGAGGGCAGGGATTGCATCTTATTCACTGTCCTTTGCTGGGCAGCTGGAAAAACACCTGACTTAAATACGTTCAAGATATTTGTTGAATGAATGAATTTTCAAAGCCCTCTGCTTACATTGTTTTTACTCAACTAATCTCTCGCCTCAGATGTCTTTTTTTATTATTATTATTAGCTTTCTTCCACTCACCAACTGTGAGCAAATCTATGTGTGTATTTTGTATATATGAACCTTTTGATGTGCACCCATCTAGGCGGTAGTTGAAGTGGAACATTGATGAAATGTTTTATGCTAACCAGTATCTTATCTTTTTGAAGAATTTGCATTTTCTTTATTTGGTTATTTGATTTTCAGTTGTCTGATAGAGGCCATCTAATTGAAAGTCAAACAGTATAGAAGGATTGCATAATAAAATGATAATAGTGTCTCCCTCTCTACCCTTAGTCCTCTTTGTCAGAAATGACCACTTTTGACCTTTCCTAACTTTAGGTTAAGTTAAAACGCTCATTCTTTTTTTTTTTTAAATTGACTTCTTAAGGTAACTCATACTATCCCCAACCTCTCTCCTCCAAAGTTTTGAATAGTTATTACAATTTTTAGTTTTCATATTGGTTAATGTTATGATTTTAAATAGTATATATAAATTATTTTTTCATGTCAATTTTCAAAAATATATTTGGGCTACTTATTTGGTAAAATGAGGAAAGTAATGACTCTACCACCTTTATCACTGCAGAAACTACATCCACCACTCCCACTCTCCCTTATCTAGACCTTTACTTACACATTGTCAATGTTAATAATATTTACATTATATTTCTTAACTACAATTTTTATTGTTTTTTTATGTGCTAAAAAACAATAAAATGTTAAAATATTCCTAAATCCTAAATCCTAAATCCAAAAAGTATGCCATGATACATTTCCTTCCCAATGTCTTAATTTCATGACCCTATGCCACACTAAGGAGAAGACTTGTAATATTAACATCAAATTGATTTCTTCTTTCTTGGTCTATGATGACAAAAAGTTACACTGTAGCTAAGTGTGATTTATTTTTTGGGATAGTATACTTCCTGTTTAGTTTTAACCTTCCTCACTTTTACAAAGGACTTTCTGTTTTCTTTTGGGAAAAAGGTACGTGTGCTTTTTTCACCAAGTCCTCCCATTGCATGCTTTCTTCACCATGTCCTCTCATTCTTTGTTTGAGAAGCTTCCATTCCATTTCTGTGCTTGAAGATGTTCCCCTTGAAGCTCAATCACTTTCTGTTTAATTTGAACAGATTACATTCTGGTAAGTTACATTGCTTCTTAACCACACATATTCTGTTATTTGTTTTTCTCCTCTCTTGGTAGAATATATCCTAAGATACTTATTCAAAAAAGGTCTGTGGATAATAATTTTATTTTTAATGTTCATGTGGCTGTAAATTATTTTTTGCAATTATTAAGATTGATAGTTTGGCACGGTATAGAAACAGAATTTGTCTCTTTAGGTCTCAAAGGGTTTTGTTGTCTTCTGACTTCTACTATTGCTCATGAAATGATGAGAATGACAGTCTTATCTTAATTTGTTGCTGTCTGAACTATTTGTTTTCTCTCTGGAGTGATTAAAGAATTTTAGTTTTGCATGATACTTTGAAAATTTATGATGATAAGCCTTGTGAGTTTATTCTTCTTGCAATGAACTCATTGAAAGGAGCTAGGATAAATGTCTCAGTGTGGGTATTTTCATTTATCCTTGTTAATATTATAAGCCTTTTTAATTTTAAGTACATATTTCCCTTCAACTGTGGGGAATTTTTGCCTATTCTTTCATAATTTATTCTCCCTTTTTTCCTCTGTTCTCTTTTTGAAACTCTTATAAGGTGGTTTTTGGATTTTTGGTTTGATTCACTATGTCAATTTTCTTTCCTCTTATGTTTTTATCTATTTGCTTTTTGTTCCATATTCTGAGCAGTTGTCTCAGCTTTATTTTCCAACACTTCTATATAACTTGGTAATCATTTAATTCCCACTCATTTTTAATTTTTCCTTTCTCATAATATCTTAATTTTATTTCATTTTTTATTTTTTATTAGATAAAATGTACATATGTTAAAATGCATTGATTTTAAGTGAGTAGTTTGATGAGTTTTGATACAAGTAAACACCCATGTGGCAGAGGTAGATCATTTTCATTATTCCCAAAAATTTACTATGTTTCACTGTCTGATCTCATCCTTCCTGCCCAATACACTATGTACTCATTTTTATCATTCTAGTTTAGAAGTATAGTTCTGAAACTACATTTAAACGTAGTCATACAATATGAACTCATCTAGGGTTACTTTCAGCAACACAATGTATTTGAGATACGTATATTTTGGCATGTTTGTTCCTTTTCTGTTGTTGCTGAGTAGAATTCTATTGGATGAATAAGCCACAACTTATTTATCCATTTACTTGTGTGACGTTTGCATTGCTTCCAATCCAGGATTGTTGTAAATAGAAATACTATGAACATTCTCATATGAGAAGTTTTATAGACAAATATTTTCATTTTTCTTGAGAAAGTATCTAGTAGGAGTGGGATTTCTGAGTCATAAGCTTAGGGTGTTTTCAACTTTAGAACGCTTTCCAGAAAGTTTTCCAAAATTCTTGTGTCATTTTTACACTCCCACCAGCAGCAGTATATCACCTCCAGTTTCACATTTTCCTCAACACTTGGTATTTCCAGTCATTCTGATTTTAGCCATTTTGGTAGATGTGAAATTGCATGTTTTTGTGGTTTTAATTTTGTATTCCCCTGATGATTAATGATTGAGAACTTTTTCATATGCTTATTGTCTATTTGTATGTTCTCTTTTGTGAAAATATATGTTTAAGACTTTTGCCTATTTCTGTATTGACTTGTTTTCTTTTTATTATTGAGTTGTAGGCATTGTATATATATTCTGGATATAAGTCTGCTATCATACACATATATATGTATACACATATATGTATTTGGTAAAAATGTCATAAATAAATATAATGTGATATATATACATGTATTTATAAGTAAAATAACATTTTCCTTATCTTCAGTTTGGATTTACATTTTCTCAAGGGTGCCTTTTGATGTGCATATTTTTTTAATGTCAGTGAGGTTCACTTTATCCAGTTTGTCTTTTATGGTTAGTGCTTTTTTGTTGTTGTTAATCCTGCCTAACAACCCGAAGGTTGCAAAGATATTCTTTTATGTTACATTTAGGTCTATAAACCAACTCAGATTTTCATGGATGTAATAGTAGGAATTGAGTTTACTTTTTTTTTCCTGTAGGTATATCTTGTTGTTCCAGTACCATTTGCTAAAGACTGTCCTTTCCCTATTGATTTTCTTGGTCTTGAAAATCGATTCATGTATTTTTAAATTTTTTATTTTAAAATTTTTAAAAAATATGAAATATGTGGTTTATAGCCCACACACACATATATATATACAGAATATATAAATTATATATATTTATTTTTATATAATATATATAATAATAAATATATAAATGTATATAAATATATAATATATAAATTATGGAGCATAATAATATGAACACCCATTAACCCGCCTATTAAGAACTAATGTATTACTCAAGATTTTAAAAGCTTGTTATGAGTTCTTCCCTAATCTCACTCCTACTTTTCATACAGGTGTAACCCTATCCTCAGGTTTTACTATTATTATTATTATTATTATTCCTTCACTTTTTAAATATAATATTATCTCATATGAACATATGCCTTAATTATTATTTAGCTTTTCTTGTTGAATATTATGAATATTGACATACATTTTATGTGCTGTCTTTTTCCTACTTGAGGTTATATTTCTAGATTCGTCTATGCTATTAAATGTTTCTACAATTTGCTTATTTTCTTTCATGTATACTCTTATATCAGATGAATGTGCTGCAATTTACTTAACCATTCACCTGTCTTTGGACATTTAAGTTTCTAGTTTGGCAATAATAGGAGCGATATCATGCTGATCTTTCTCATATGTATCCCTTTCTGAATGTGTGACGGAGTTTCTGCAGGAATGGAATAGCAAAATAATGTCAAACTGTTTTCCAGATGATTATATTAGTTTACATGCTACTTCTTCTATCCTCCTAACATTATATATTATCAAATTTAATTTTTACTATCTGGCAGGTATAAGTTCTCATGTAGTTTTAATGAACAGCTTCGGGGATATTAATGAGGTTGTTCATCTGTATCAGCAATTCCTTTTTTACTCTTCTGTGAAAATATTTTGCCATACATCCTGATATAATGTTTTCTCAAATCTTTTTAAATATATTTCAGCTGGTTTTGGTTTTTGTTGTTTTCTTTGCCGTAAGTTATTCCAGTTGCCTCCAGGGCAGATTTTTTTGTTTATTTTATTCTTTGCCTGTTAAAATGTAGTCTTTCTTCAACTATCTCATGATTCCTGGATAGTTCATTATTTCGGAGTTGCATACAGAGGAGTATTGTCATAAAAAGCAAAAGAAAGAAGCTACAACTTATATTACAGTCAGGAGGTGCATTGGGCCTCCTCAGATTCAGAGGCTTCAGATCAGAGAAGCAGAAATAATGGGGATCATAAGTCAAAAGAAGGTTTGAAATGAGAACGATAATTTAAAGGGATGAAAATAAAAGAGTTAACTCTGCCACTGGTCCTCCCCAATACCGGATAGTTATTTACCCTCAAAGGAAAAAAAGTTAAATCTCTTCCCTTGAAATTAAACCAACTGTGTGAGAATTACAATAAAAAGCTGGTATGAGCAAAGGTAACAAAAGCAAACTATTATGAATTCTAGAATTTGTGGGACCCCAGTTAAAATCCAACTGTCTACCCTCTAAAGCAGAGTACAGCAGTCAAGACTTCCTTAACTTCCTTAACCCCTTGCCTAGGGACCATTTTTGTTGTGATTACATTAATGGGATTCAGATTGCTCCGGAGCAAGTTCCTTAGTCTCCAGTTTACTTTGTCTGGGGCATTATTTGCTGTGGAGGCCATGTCAATAGGACCACTCCAAATATATATTTGGAGTGATCCTATTATATATATATTATAATATATATAATATATAATATATATTATATATATAATTCATATATATATTATATATAATTTATATATTTTTTTCACTTTGAAACTTGTTTTATTCTAATACTGTGAACATTTGCTTTTATTATATATTCTTTCTAAAACTTCACATTTTATTTTGAAATAATTACAGATTCACAGGGTGTTGCAAAAACAGTATGACGTCCCATATAATTTGCACCCCATTTCCCAGACTGGGTTGCATCCTCTGGATTACAGTACATCAAAACCAAGAAACTGACATTGGGACGCATGTGTACCATTTTAGGTCACCTTATCACATGTGTAGATTCAGGTAACAACCACCACAATCAAGATCAGATTTCATCAACACAAAACTTTCCTTCTCAGTATCCCTTTCCAGTCACAACCACCCACCCCACCCCCAGCCTCATCAGCCCTAACCCTTGGTGACTGCTAATCTAACTTTGTGATAACAAAAACATGAGTGGCTGCCTACAGTGTGTGACCTGTACAGATTGGCTTTTTTCACTCAGCATCATGCCCTTGAAATCCACACCAGTTGTTGTATGCATCCAGAGTTTGTTGCTTCTTAATTGCTGAGAAGTATTCCATCTGGTACAGATGTACTGCTCATCTACTGAAGGACATTTGGGTTATTTCCAGTTTTACTGTATGACAAGTAAAGCTGGCATTTTTAAGAGCTGCAAAATATTTGTAACTATTGCATAGTTTTGTATCAATTCCCTGACCTCTGTGTAGGCTGTTTTGTTTGTTTTTAACTTGCAGCAAGAATTACTATCAAACTCCACTTTTTGGGCCATAGACCCTTGTGGTCTTAGCAAAAGACTTGCCCCTCAAAAGACCTGCCATGTCAATAGGACCACTCCAAATATATATTTGGAGTGATCCTATTATATATATATTATATTATATATATAATATATAATATTATATATATAATATATATATTTTATATATATAATAAATATATATATATACACACATAGTGGTCCTATATATATATATAAAATACAAATATATATATATATGTGTGTGTGTGTGTGTGTGTGTGTGTGTGTATGAAACTTATATAAACCGGAGGCAGTAACATCTGTGAAAGTTGTTGAGAGAATTAAAACAAGTCAGGTCACACATAGGGGCTCCTGGGTGAGTCAGTTGGTTAAGCATCTGCCATTGCCTCAGGTCATGATCTCTGGGGTCCTGGGATCAAGTTCCACATTGGGGAGACTACTTCCTCCTTTCCCTCTGCCCTTCTCCCCCCAACCCACCTGTTTGTGCTCCCACTGTCTCTCGAATAAATAAATAAAATCTTTTTAAAAAAATAAAACAGGTCACGTAAAGTATCTAGCACAAAAACAAAAATTGATTAGTTAAGAAACATTATGGAGGCCTCTGTTACCTAGTTTAATTTTTACTACTATTAGAATAGAGGCCCTGATAATTTGACTTAATGGTTGGTATCTATATTTCCTCTTTCCTGACTTTACTCACTCTGTGAGAAGGAAAAATTCCTAATAGTCTTGATGGTCTCTTCTCTGTTCAAGCTTTAGGTAAAGAGAAGATCCTTATTGATATCATTATGCAATAACAAACTTCCTCTAAACTCTTAAAACTGTCAGGTGCCATTGAAGAGGGAATGTTCTATATTTTCCTTTTTATGCCATTGAAAATCTTTGATTGTGATTTAGAACTACAGTGTAAATTTGTGATTAGGTGGTTTTTCCTCTTTGATATTATCTTGGAATTTTTTAACTTCGATATTTTTTACTGTGAAGTGTTCTGATTGGCATTTTCCTCTAAGTTATATATTATTAATCATATTTAAGGTGAGAAAACACTGGCTTAATTTTTGGTTGATCTGTGATAAAATTCTCTCCTTTTCCAGGTTATCTTAGAAGATCTAGGACTTGGAAATGTTTCCCCTGAAGGATGCTGAAATGGGTGCCTTTACTTTTTTTGCCTCGGCTCTGCCACATGATGTTTGTGGAAGCAATGGGCTTCCTCTCACACCAAATTCCATCAAAATTTTAGGGCGATTTCAAATCCTTAAGACCATCACCCATCCCAGACTTTGCCAATATGTGGATATTTCTAGGGGAAAGCATGGTAAGTTGTTCTTTTTTTCTGTTTTTGTGTCCTTTATTCTGTTACCTTGATTAGGTTACAAATATGCAGTGACTGCATATAGTAATCAGTATGTATGTGCAGGCATGCCTTCACCTTCAGTCCAGCCAAATTCAGTCTTTCAAGTTTTCCTGATTGCCTTGGCCCCTCACATGTCCCTGGTTTAATACTCTTGCTGTTTTCTCTCTCGGATTATACTATGCTCCATTCTGTACAATCTGAGTTTAGTCCCTTTCTTAGATTTTTTTATAGCTTTTATCATATTTTTTATTATTTTCTATTTAATTTGTCTCTTCTGAGGATTCTTAGTTTTTTGAAGAAAAAAGACAAAACGGGGCACCCGTGTGGCTATCAGTTAAGTGTCTGACTCTTGATTTTGGCTCCTGTCATGGTCTCAAGTCCTGGGATTAAGCCTTGTGTTGGGTTCCACATGCAGCCGGGAGTCTGCTTGAGATTCTCTCTCTCCCTCTCCCCACTTCCCCACCTGCCTGCATGTGCATGTGTGTGCATTCTCTCTCTCTAAAATAAAGAAATAAAATCTTAAAGAAGGGGGGGGGCTAATGACTTTTACCTCTAACCTCAGAATCAGAACTGTACTGAGCACACAGGAGGCATTCAATAAATGTTGGTTGAGTGAATAAAATAGTAAATGACTGCATTTTGAGGGATTCATGTTTTTCAGATCTGAGAATAAGGATTTTTAATTTTCTCTTTCAGGGAAACCACTCATCCTTAAGCATATTTCTTTCCTTCTATAAAAAGAAAATGAAAGTGCTAATGTCAGAAATTTTGGAAGTATCTATTTAAATGTATTTTATGATTGAAAGTAATTTGGGCTATTTCCAAATGTAAAGGGAGTCACTAATTTTTTTGGAGCTGCATTAGTCTTTTTATATAAAATTCCATTTAGGAAACTAAAGTAAAAAAGTTGAATCCTATTGGTTAAAAAGTCAGTGTTTCACCAGGAAGATATTTACTGCATTTTTAGTAATATACTCAGGTTCTTCTGTATCCCATATCTTAGTCCCTTTGGACTGCTTTGACAAAACATCATAAACCTAGTAAACAACAAACATTTATTTCTCCCAGTTCTAGAGGCTGGGAAGTCCAAGACCAAGGCACCAGCAGATTCATATCTAGTGAGGCCCACTTCCTCATTCGCAGTTACCTTTACCTGGTGGATGAAGCCAAGGTGTTCTCTCAGTGTCTTAAAAGCACAGAGCACTCAGGACCTGATTATCTCCCAAAGGTCCCACCCCAAAGGTCCCTAATCAGCACTGCACTGGGGATTAGGTCTTAACATATTAATGGTGCAGAGCGGGGAGACACAATTATCCAATTTATACCACCCCTAAACATGTTTATGATGGCAATATTTTAACTATTTTAAAATTATTTTTGGAAACTTAATTGCATGCTGAGGTTCCATTGCTTAAAATTATTTTAAATGCATTTCAATGAAATACATTTAATTTTTCTAACAAAATACTTTGTAAAAGTTAACCCTATATATATATAGTTGCTGATATTGCCTATAAAAATGGCAATTTCGTGTGTTTGAACCTAATATTACAAAAAAACCAAAACGCAAATAATGTTTTCTTTGTTTTGCTGAAAGATAGGCTAAATGATACTTTCAGTTAGTCTGGGTTAATGGCCTTCGAAAAATATTTGCCCTGGGGTGCCTGGGTGGCTCAGTCAGTTAAGCATCTGCCTTGGGCTCAGGTCATGATCCTGGGGTCCTGGGATCAAACCCCAGAAGGGCTTCCTGCTCAGCTGAGAGCCTGCTGCATTCTCTCCCTCTGCTGCTCCCCCTGCTTGTCTGCTCCTTTGCACACGTGCTCTCTCTCTCTCTCCCTCTCTTTCAAATAAATAAATAGTCTTTAACAACAAAACAAAAATTTGCTCTGAAAACATTTACATTTTATAGACTTGGAGTAGAAAATGTTTTTGTAATAAATATTATTATTAAGTTAATATTTATGGAGTATTTATTGTTATTGAGGCAGTTTTCTAAGTGCTTTATGTATTTTAATGAACTTAATCCTCATAACATTATTGTGAGATAGGGACAATTATTATTCACATTTTACAGATAAAGAAATTGAGATACAGAGCAATTAAGTAATTTATCTAAGGTCATACAACCAGTAAAGAGTTGGAATATTAAATATTTTATCATATTTCAAAAGATTTTTGAAGCTGAAATAAGTGTACATTGTAATGCAAGTATTGATACCTCTACCAATCAGAGCTATTCAATGCCTTAAACACTTTGGAGTTCTATCATATATCTAGTGTCTTGAATATTTAGGTATGTCAGGAGATCTCAGAAAGAAGGTGGTAAAAAGATTTGTTTTGTAGATGATAAAAAATTGTGATTTTTCATATTCATATGTACATACACGTACACATTAACACACAAACACAGACAGTTAAAGTATACATTATTCTGTTGGGACCTTCTTTACTATGCAAGATTGCCTTTGATTGATTTATTCACAAATATCAGCAAACCTTTACCAGCTTTGGCCTAACCTTTCAAGAGGGAATGTAGGTGGGGCCCTATTAAGGCCATAAAGGTCTCTCTCCACAAAGAATAAACTTGGAGGGCAGAGCTGACGGAAAACCAGGATGGAAATAAACTTTTAAAGATGTTGATAAGTTGAAGATTTGTTTAGGAACCAGACTTTCTTGTCTACTCTGGCATTTTTTACCCTGTGCTTTGGCATACATAATGCCAGTCCACTGGTGTTAAAATACTTTAACAGTCTTATGCCTAATATTATGGCCCTCCTTGTTATAGATGCCAGATATATGATGAATAAGATAGGATCCCTCTAGAAGTAGTAGAGGAAAAAAATATAAACATGATTTTAATATAGTAATAGTTGTTACAGCAGATGATGTACAATGTGCTATGCTACACCATGGGAGTACAAAGGAAAGAATGTTTTCTACATTGAAGAATGGAGATATTCATCAGACTCTCATATAGAGAGTTTTATTTTTTTATTTTATTTTATTTTTTTAAAGATTTTATTTGTTTGACATAGAGAGATACAGTGAGAGAGGGAACACAAGCAGGGGGCATGGGAGAGGGAGAAGCAGGCCTTCTGCCAAGCAAGGAGCCCAATGCAAGCTCAATCCCCAGGACCCGGGGATCATGACCTGAGCCCAAGGCAAACGCCTAACAATTGAGCCACCCAGACGACCCCATATAGAGAGTTTTAGTGGGATAGGAGACTTCAGAACACAGAGGGGTAGCTTTTCTGTCTGTGAAGTTTTATTTACTTTCATTTATTGTAATGGTACCAGTGGCCTAAAGGAATAGCAGATTTTCAAGAGATGTGCTGGCCTTTTACTGTTGACATATTCCTAAGAAAGCAAATCTTGATATTATTCATAATCATTTTTATTCTTTTTTTAAAGATTTTTATTTATTTATTTGACAGAGATCACAAGCAGGCAGAGAGGCAGGCGGGGGGGGGGGAAGCAGGCTCCCTGCTGAGCAGAGAGCCCAATGTGGGGCTCTATCCCAGGACCCTGAAATCATGACCTGAGCCGAAGGCAGAGACTTAACCCACTGAGCCACCCAGGCACCCCCATTTTTATTCTTTTTAAAGGAATTTACATTTCTTATTATAATTTTTCTTAAAAAATTGACATATGTACAATATTATATATACATATACATAATATTTTGTGTATACAGTATATACATGAAAAAATATATATAATCAGGATGGGGAGAAAGGAAACAGTGTAAGATAGTAAGTGATAATATTAATTCTTAGTTTCTTCACATGGACTATAAATTTTTTTGTTGACTTCTTATAGGTCAAGGCAAAGAAGGAAATTGATCTGCTTCAAATTACATTTATAATGAAGCAACATATTAAGAAATTAATTTCTAAATTTTTACTTAAATCTGGAAAAATGATCAGTTGCAAGGTTCATAATGTTCATACAATATATTGTATGTTCAGGTGATACATAGAGATATTATATAGAAACTTCTATGTTATGGGGATCTGAGATATTTGTTATTATGGGCAGTGTTCTCAACACATTTGGCTATATTTGCTTTATTTTTCTTTCTTGTGTTGATCTCTGAGTGGAAACCCCTGTAGCTTCTTGTCCCAATTTTTCTGTGGTGAGCATTAGGTAAAATAGATTTGACAGTTTGAAATAGCACTTGAGGGCCACAGGGGCCTATGAATGGGCACGAGGAGATCTATGGACCTTGAAATTATATAGACAGTCTTGTGTGTGTGTACATGTATGCACAACCATTTTTTGGATAATGAGCCCAAGTTTTAATCAGATTCTCAAAAAGGATTCATAATGTAAAGAAAGGGTTTAAAAGCACTTATGCAGAGTATCAACTACATGGAGAGAATTTTTCTTCTTTATTTAAAGACAATCTGGAGAAATTCTAATGTAGGCAGTAAGCCCTCCAAAGTTGATTTGACCAGTATCTATAGGTGTGCCATATCACGTATTTACCAATCCAGAGACCCACATTCAGAGCCACTGAACTGTAGAGTTTTGCACAAAACCTTCTGGCTAATGCAATAAGGAAGGGCTGAAATCTTTTTCTCTATTTCATTCTGAGAGAAGAGGTGCTTTTTCTGATTTGCCTATATATAGCCATGAAGACAAATGGTAGCTGTACCCACAGGAGACTTTATAGATAGCTCTAGCCATTTGCCGAACGTTTAGAAAGGAACTTTTGGCAAGTTTGTTGTTGTTGTTTAAAAACATTTTATTTTCTTTGCTAAAGTTTTTATTTGATGAATAGCTTCAATGACATTAATTAAATATTTTGAAATTATAGGAATCATTTGGGGTATTTTATATCACTGAACAATTGATAGATATTGTCAGTACCTGAATGCCTCAATCACCTTTTCCACCACTACCAATCTAATTACAAATTCTGAAGAATTTACAGTTGTTACATCGGCCCAGTGTCAAAA